AGGCCGACGAAAGATAGAGGCAGGTCGCCGATTTCCTCCTTCAACCGCCTCCATTCGTCAGGCTTGAACATGGACAGCCGCGTGCAGTGCCCGAGCGTGATCCCTTTGCCACCGCGCTCCACCCAGTGCCAGTACTTCAGTATGTCGATGACGTCCCATATCAGCGGCTCCTTGGTCTTGTCGAGGTTGTAGTCGAGATGGAGATCTAGATGCGTCTTGTGCGCAAGAGTCATGGTAGCCATCCAACGCACGTTCATGCGCATCTTGTACGGGTCCGATTCCACGTAAGGCGTGCTGCCCAACACGTCCACGCCTTCGCGCGCGGCGGCTTCGGCCATCAGCTTCCGGTTCTCGTCGCCGCCGTCGGCGCCCGAGAAAATGGGCAGCTGGGCGAAGGCGCAAATCTGCACGTCGCAGCGCTGCTCGAACTCCTTCTTGAGCTTGAGCCCGGCGTCGAGGCAGCGGAAGCGCACTTGGCCGTCGACCTCGACGAAGGCGCGCACGGCAGTCACGCCATGCTCGATGCTCTCCTCGAGTAGCTGGCGACCGCGGCGCAGCAGGTCCTCCTCCTCGAAGCGCGCCTTGGCCTTGGCCGTCAGGGCCATGGCCTCGGCGAAGTCGCCGCTCTCGATCTCTAGGTCCGCGTACTTGGGGTCTTGTAGCAGGAAGCACTTGTCGAGGTGGACGTGCGCATGGCATAGGCTGGGCGCCACCAGGCGCTCGAAGGCGTGCAGCACGCCCGGCAGGTGAGCGATGGTGGGCGCGGCCGCATCGTGCGGCTCGACGGACGCGATCCGCCCATTGACTATGGATATGTCCCATAGCGTCGAAGGGTCCCGTCGCGGTAGCCGCGCCGCCATGATGCGCCGCAAGGGATCGCCGCCCACCACGTCGGCGTAACTGGGCGGTGGCTGCCGGTGCCGCAGCATTCCCGCCGCCTGCTTGAACACGTCCTGGCCGAACTGGATCCTGGCCATTTCCGAGTCCAGGTCGACGCCGTGGCTGGCCATGTATTCGCGGGCCATGATTTGCTGTCGTCCGCTTTCCGGGCGAAAGTCGCTATTCGGGGGGCTCGCTCTTGCTCCCGGCAGCAAGCGTCGGCTCGCTCGAGCTGGAAGAAGCTCGAGAAGGAATGGAAAGAACAGAAAGGAAAGGAAAAGAAAGGAAAAGGGAAAGAAAGCCACGCGCAGCAGCGCGAACGAAAGACGCAGACCCAGCGGAGAAAAGAAGAGGGAGAGGAAAAATTGTTCGGCCCACTGGCTTTGATATCGATTGGGTTGCAGGGTGCCGGCCTGCGGGGTGCCGTCCGTGGGGGGCAGTTTCTGGTCAGAGCACGAGTGTATCAGATGTGAGGCCAAAACGGCGGCATCAGACGCCACGCCCGCAAACCATGGCCCACAGCGCTACAGGGGTGCCACGTTTCGCTCTCGAGGCTCCCAATGGCGCACCGGGGCGCGGGAGCTGGTTGGTGGCTCTGGGAGTAGTGGCGCCGCTGTGAATGTGATGGTGGAGCCCAAGGGGTGATGTGACTGCCGGCCTGAGGACGGCAAAGAGGTGTTAGATGGGCGCTTGGTAGCACCCGGGTAGCTGCGGAGAGAGCGCTTCTAGGCGCATTAGAGGGTGCTTCGCTAGAACTGCAATTACGAGATGGGAAAATTGTGAATATTATAGTAGAGATCAGCAATGCGGCAGAAGTCGCGGGTCTATGTAGAGGCAATAGGTGGGATGGAGACGAGGGTATTGCCGGGAGCACTGGTGATGCAGCAATGCTGCGGGAATGGATGATGCAGCGAAATGGCAGGTCCGCGTAGCAGCGAAATCTTGGCGGCGTGCCGATCGCGTCTTCGTCCCTTCCGGAGTCGCACACCTTTCACCGCGGAGCGCTCCGTCAGGGATACGGATGTCGGCAACCTTGGGAGTCCGTTTTGGAGGTGCATGTCGTAGCCAGGACCGTCAACTGTACCGTATAGGCGCGTTGTCACTTATGCGTGACACCCGCAAGGCATGATCGATGTGAGAGTGAACTGTGATGGCGGCGGGCCGACGACGATTTGGATGGGTCGGCAACCGTCGCTAAGTGGGCGGTACCTTCCTGGAAATCCCTTAGTGCGGCTCCCATTTAGGGGAAGACGCCGTCATACGTGCGTACGTAGCAGAGACCTTTGTATGGTTTGCATCTCAAGATGCGCGGAACATGCAGCACAACAGGCAGATGTCGAGCTCGCGACTGAATTTTTGCGAGGTTCCCTGAGTTGAGGGGAGATGAGGGCGCAGGCGCCGCGAAGGCGAGCACGGGATTAGTGGTGGACGGGCAGACGAGTGACACCGCCGCGGCGACGGGCGCCCACATGCAACTGCTACTCCAGGCCGGCGGACTCGAGAGACCCCAACACCGCGCACCGCGCAGGGCGCACGATGCGTCGCGGCCCGCGGCAGGGCGCGGAACGGCCCACCGAGGGCGCGGGCAGCAATAGAAGAGGCGCCCGTCAGCCCCGCATTCGGCTAGGGCGCGAGGGAAAGGAGGTTGGGTTTGTGCTGCCAGCGCCGGCCAGCGCAGGGCCGCTGGAGCCCGGGGGCCCATTGGCGGGCGGGGGCAGCGCTGCGGCGCGTCCCTCTTCTCTCTCTCCTCTCCGGCGCCTCCCCCGTGACTGCCAGAAGGGCACGCGTCGACGACGCGCTCCTTCCCATCCGCCGCCATCGTCCATCGCAGCTGCCTCACGCCCGCACAGCGCCCGCGCGACCCAGCCATGCAAGGCCCGTACCGGAACTACCCGCAGCCCATGCAGCGGTCGCCGCACAACGCCCAAGCCCGGCGCGGCCCAGGTACCTGCACCCTCTTCATCCGCGCCGTCACCGTCACCACCACCGTCACCGCCACCTCGCTTTTCTCCTCCTCCCCCCTTCCCCCTCCGCGCTCGCAGCCCAGCACCTGCCATGATACGCCGCGCTGACATAGACACCACCTTCCGCCGCGCAGGCCCCATCATGGCCAACGCCCACCCCCACGCCCCGCCGCCCATGTCCCAGCAGCAGCTGGCCCAGACCCAGGCCATGGAGCAGCAGCGCCGCGAGCAAGCCCGCCGCCGCGCGCACAAGCCCACCGACAAGAACATCCCCGAGGGCGTCGAGCAGCTGGCCCTGGGCGACGGCGTGAACCGCTACCGCGCCCTCCGCGACCTCGAGCGCCGCCTCGACGCCGTCATGATGCGCAAGCGCATGGACATCCAGGAGTCCACCAACCGCTCCATGAAGCGCACCCGCACCCTTCGCATCTGGATCTCCAACTCGGTCGACAACCAGCCGTGGCAGCAGGGCGCCATCGAGCCCGAGTCCTTCGTCGATTTCGGCACCGACTCCCAGGGCACCTTCCGCGTCAAGATCGAGGGCCGCCTGTTGGAGGACGACGAGGACCGCGCCGACGGCGTCTCGGAGTCTAAGGGTGCAGGCGACGGCGACGAAAGAGATGCAGGTGCCATGGATCAGGATCCGGATCCGAACAAAACGACGCCCACCAAGCAGCCACTCGCGGGATCGGCCGGCCTGGCGCCGCAACGGTTCAAACTCTCGCACTTTTTCAAGGCCATCACGGTCGAGTTTGACAAGTCTAAGATATTACAAATCGAGGGCATCGCTCCCGTGGAATGGAAGAAGCCTGAAGCGAAGCCGAACCAGCCACAACCTAGCAAGGCCAAGGACGCCGACTTTGACTGTCTCGAGTTCGAGCGGAAAGGCGACGAGAATATCAACATTGTCATAAACCTCACGCGCGACGAGAACCCCGAGCGCTATCGACTAAACAAGCCCCTCGCGGACATCGTAGATAAGGATGAAGACGACCGTGCCGGCATCATGCACGCCATCATGGAGTACGTCAAGGCCAACAATCTAAGCGAGGAGAAAGATTTCCGCAAGGTTACTTGCGATGATGCTCTCAAGAAGGTATGCGAAACGAGCGCCCACAAAGCCTTTTATTTTTTTTTTTTCTCTTTTGCCCTGGTACGCAACTGCTAACTGCTGGCAAAGGTCTTCGGCCGCGACATCGTCCACTTCCCGGAGATCCCTGACCTCATCCAGCAGCACGTCACGCCGCTGCCCCCGCTCCAGCTCCCCTATACTATCCGTGTCGACCGTGACTACACCGACAACCCGGTCCCGACCGTCTACGACATCCCCGTCGCCTGCGACGACCCGCCGCGCAATACGATGCTGGCACTCGCGCGCGACACAGGCCCAAACCACCTCAACGCGCTGCGCCAGGTCGCCGCCCTCGACGACTCGCTCGCCCTCGTCATCCAAGCCATGGCCAACGGCAAGGCCAAGCACGACTTCTTCTCCTCCATGGCCGACGACCCCGTCCGCTTCCTCCAACGTTGGCTCGCCAGCCAGCGCCGCGACGCCGACGTCATCCTCGGCGACCCCGTCGAAGGCGCCGCGCAGACGGAGGAGTGGCGTATAGGTGGCAAGGAAAGTGTTTGGAGCACCGATGGGGCTAGGGAGAGCGTTGGGCTTTGGCTTGCGAGGATGAAGTGAGCGCAAGTTGGGCTGTTGCTTGTTTTTTACGCCTTTCATGTCGCTGACACGAATAGCGCGGACAAATTATTTTCATATTAGGACCCATTCTCGTCCAAGGTGAGGATATAGGCGTTGGGAGGTGGAGTAATGAATGAGGATAGTGATATCATTGGCTGCAATAGGAACTTGTCCTAGCTCGAAGGTTTAGGTGGAGGGAATAAGTACCACGGCGCGATACTCACTCTACACGACACTAAAAATTAAATGATTCTAAGGATTACCAGGGATGCTTTTCAACGTGGGAGCAAATACTCTCGTCCTGAATATATTTCGTGGTGATCTGAAACTTGGCAATTAGGTTGTAATGACGCCACCAAGACAGGCGGGATTAGTTCGTGATATATGCATAGCCATCCTCGTGAAATTGTGAGTATATTAAAAGGCATAAAATAGCAGAAGTAACTCATACAAAAAAACAAAACAATAAGTTCGGATACCGGGAATCGAACCCGGAGCCTGGCGGTGCTAGTCATGGACGTCCATGAAAGCGCCAAATGTTAGCCGTTACACCATATCCGATGGAATTTCTGCAATTTTGTGAGCAAAATAGTATATACATATATATACAAGCCTAGCCCAAGCAGCAGCTTCCTCATTCAACATCAACCCCTGTCAATTTTGCGGCCTCTAGAAGGCATAGGATTTTCGTCGACGGCACGCAAATGACCATTTCTCCAGATTACACGGCACATTCTAGGAAGAGCATGTTCTCTATTTTAACTACTATCAATGTACACAAAAATGTAATAGCGGTAGTATACACATGATAAATTGCTAGCAACCTTTTTAATCCAAAACGAAATTATGAGGCAGTCATCTTTAGCTGCCGCAGAGATCGCGTCGAAAAGTCGTACTCCGCGTATATGGGCCCTATCGCAGAGCTTTAATTTCAAATCTGAATTCAAGCCAATAGAAATATCACAATGATATTTGCAAGGTAACTTAGGACTTGCGCGCTCCATATCCCTACACCTCTTTTCTTCTACATCACGAGCGCTCCATTTCCCTATGCCTCCTCTTCTTCAGCATCACCACCATAGTCAAAATCCCGACCACCTCATCGATTTCCTCCGTGTCCAGAACCAGCGCGCCGCCCGTCTGCCAGCTCCAGCTTTGCCAGAACCTCCCAACCTCCTTTTGCTGGCCGCCATAATTCCTATCCAACCTGAAGCGATTGCCTTTCCAGATCGCCTCAACACACCACTGGTACGGGCAGCTGTCGACCACAAACGCTTCGTTTTGGCGCCATATGCTGGTCGGCGTCATGATGATTTGGTGCGAGCAGTGTTCCGACTCGGGAGGGAACTGCAACTTTGTCGAACTCGTCGACCACAATCCAAATTGCCAATCGGCTACCTGTTCGTCTGACGCGTTGCGCATAAGCACGTGCATGCCGGTGAAGTTTGTCTTCACAAAGGTGTAACATGGCGGGCGATGCTTCCCCTCGCGCTGGACAACGTCCTTAATCGCGTCAATGTATTGTTGGGTAGGTTGATCGGACTCGTCAACTGCGTAAGGAATTTCAATATCTTTGGTCAAATCAAGAACTTTGACCCCGGAGCTGAAAGAGTTGTGGGGAACAATCCAGAAAATCTTGGTGGGACGAAAAGGAGTGGACGAGGCTGGCAGGTCTGATGCTTTGTCTTCCTCTACCATTGTGATATGGAGAGTGTAGTTAGGTGGGATGGATTGAAAATAGTACTGATCTCACGTTGAGTTTATTTTTTGTTATGATAAAGGTCGTCTAGAATCACGGGTCGTGATTGTATTTATGGTTGATACCAAGCCTGATCGCTTCGGATTCAAGAATATCAAATACGACAATGCTTTGCTGTTTCAGGCTTATGTGGCTGTGCAACGTCGGATTCTCGACAACGGCCAAAGGGCCGACCAATCGCATCATGTTTTTACGGCCGTAGACGCGAGAAACATTGGTGCTCCTTTTTCGTCTTGGCCTCTTTTTCTTTTCGGTCTCTCGTTTAAAGTTACCGATCATGCATACGCTTGCTTATCACGCACGTCTTACGATTAGGTGTCAATATCAGCTTCTATTTTTCGTTCCAGTGCCCATTCTGCCGAAAACCTGCTCCATAGAGGAATGCTTCAGCAGAGGTACCCCGTCAGTTTAATAATTAGACAGTTGTGTTGAAGACGTCTTCCTCTTCCTTAACCGTCTCTCCCGGCTGCACCTCCTTAGTTGTGTCCGCCTCATGCTGCAGCTGCGCCTCTTCTTCGGTTTCAAGTCGCTCAATATCGCTCTCTGGTTTAAGAGTTGGCGCAACGCCAATGGCTTTCTCGGCTTCTGCTATAACTTCCTGCTCGGCTTGCTGGCGAGGCTTGGAATAACCATTTTCGGTGTCAAATCCGTCCATAAATTCGTCCTCCTGACTAGTCCGTGCGAGTCCACTTCCTTTTCTAGTTTCAGGATCTTGGCCAGCCGCCAATGTGCCTGGCTCTTGAATTACTCCATTCTCATTTGCAGCCTCCGAAAACGTGGCCTCATCGCGTCTCGGACCCTTGTATTGAAGCTCGGTCTGGTCGTTGAACAGACGCAGCAGCATTGCCCTAAAAGATGAAATATTAGTAGACATAGGGAAGACATAAAGGAGCATATGACTTACCTCCGCTCTTCCTTTGGCAGCATTAAATTGACAGACGAGATGCTTTTCCAGAGCGGGAGGACTAGGCGCTCTTTGAAGCCATCCTCGGCGTCACTCGTATCCACCCTAAGGACGCAGCATCCCATTGCTATGTCCCGAACTCTCTCACCGATTTCGCCCAACTCCTTCCACCCGTCGTTCGCCACACGAGGAAACATTTCAATCAACAATTTCCGCAAGGTTTCTCTCTTGTGCATGTACACCACCCTATCGTCCCCGACCCAGTGCTGCACCACCGGCAAGCCCTCAGTTTGGATCCGCCACCTGCAAATGTCGCGCCCCTGTGCATCCTGCTTCATAAACATCTTAACCCCACAGTGCACAAACTTGATACCCTTGCCTTCGTTGAGAGTCAGGATGCGCTTTGCCAACTCCGAGGTGTAGTAAATAGCCTTCACAGGCTCACCCATCTCGTTCCGAACCATAAAGCGGTCACGCGGGAACCGCTCGGACAACTCGTAAAAATCGTAGATGCGGAGAAGTTCTGGATGTGAAGGGTCGAGATACTTGAAAGCTTCTTCGTGTACATTGCCACCTCTCTTGCCTACCTTATCGTATGACACGGGCGCGGATGGGGGAGGGGTATAATCGTACGTGTCTACGTCGTTGCGGGTACGCTTAGGTGAACGACCCCCGTCGAAGGGTGAGTCGTCCAACGGTCGTTTAGGAGGTGAACTAGGACGATCTTGACGTTGAGTTGCAGGCGCATTACCATCATCCATATGATTGGCCGGGTCTACTTGTGGAGGAGCAATAGCGTCAAGTGTTTTCAACTTCTCCACGGCTGAACCGTTGTTGTTCTGAGGCTCGGTCTTGGATTCGATCTCGTTGATAACATCGACAATAGAGGTCTGGTCGACTTTCTTAGGCTCGCTCTCCTTAGGTTCGCTCTCTTCTTTAGGTGAGATCTCCTTCTTGGGCTCGCTCTCGTTGCGCGCTTTGATCTCAGTCTTTTTCTCCAGCACAGTTATGAAGAAGCCTCCCGTGTCTTGAAGGTGAGGATAAATACGCCAGCACCTCTCAAGAGGTATCCTCTCTTGGTCGGATGGCGTAGGAGGAAACATGCTCTCTGCGAGTCGGGCTGTAGAATCATTATCATCTTCTCCCAAAGATACTCTATATTCCTCGACCTCTGCCCAGGAATCGAACATCTGCGCAGCCTTATCCATCACTCTCCACGACGTCATTCCCGGCCTGCGTTTCAGACCCGGCAGCATGTCGCTACAATCGACAACGTCCACATTGGCCATGCCTCCGCATCTCTCAATTGCGCTTGCTACTACGGCCTCGTTTTCGACAGGGTTCATCGAGCAAGTAGAATAAACTACTCTACCACCTACTTTTAGCATTTGTAGTGCGCGTACAAGAATCCTTTGCTGGGTTATGTGCAATCCTAGACTGTTACCAGGAAGCCAATCCTTCCAGATAGCGATATTCTTACGCGTTGTGCCATCGCCAGAGCAAGGCACGTCAGCTAAAATACGGTCGAACTTCAGATACCTCGTCTTCCCTCCCTCTGCAAATATGCGAACGGATGGGAAGAACGTTGCATTGTGGTTGGTAACAATCAGGTTGGGAGAATTGAGTCTCTTGACTTGATGGATCAACATTTGGGCACGGCGATAGTCCATGTCGTTTGCGATGAGCAAGCCGGTCGAGCGTCCGTCATCGGACCAATCATTCTCAGCCTCTGCAACTTGCTTTTCAAGATCCGTCTCCATACCATCCGGACTAAGCTCGCGGCCGCGCTCTTTCGCTAGGTCCCTCACGACCTTCCGGACCCGTGCTTCCTCTCCACCGTGAACTGCTTCGATGAGCTGCGCAGACTTGCTTCCCGGGGCGGCGCAGAGGTCCAAGACAGTCATGCCAGGGCGCACGTCCAAGAGCAATGGCGGAATCATGCTGACAACCTCCTGCCTACTGATGTTGCCGACACTGGTCTCCGAGACGAGGAACTTCTGAAACGATGCGAAGGGTTTGCACTTGCGGATAACATTTTTGGTTGTGGTCATGGACCAGGCAAGCTTATCAGGAAACCACGAGACGGGCTCAGGTGGGTCTACGGGTTCGCCGTTGAAGGTAACTGATGTTATCTCAGGGATGTAATGATCAATGAGACGTTGCTGGACCGTGAGAGCGTGCCTACAATGCATGAGAGTCATGTCAGTCACGGAACTACTCGGGCTGGGGTTGGGATCCGGCGTACCCTCTAGACCCTGTGAAACGGAAGCTGATAGGAAGTTCCCTGCGGAGAGCAGCCCAGAACTCGCCGCGCTCGCTATCCTCAATAATTCCCAATTCGTTGTAATACGACTCGTAGCGCTCATTGTGCTTGTCGATAGCGCTATAATCGGTGCGCGAGCCCGGCTGGAAGTGGCCACGACCACCGCCGCGGCCTCCTCTCTGCAATGGAGTCAGTGTCATTTTTTGAAAGCCAGAGCAAGAAACAAGTGGGTGCATACGCCGCGCCCTCGTCCCCGACCCATTCTTCTGATAGCCGTATGGAAGCTTTGGGAAGAAGTAGTCGATGTGTGCACAAGCGTTGGTGTCGTGGTTAGGGTCCTAAGACCAATGACGAAGTTCATGCGATGCCGCTGGGGGATCGCGGGGACGGGGAACACACCTCGCGGCGAAAAAAGCTGAATTGACAGGATGCTGTGGCTGGTGCACCTGCTTGAGCTCTGGCCTTACGTAATACTGCGGTAAGCGAACGCACCCACTCCTAAACCCTAAATTTCGCCCGCGGAAGCCACCACCCGACAATCCTCCCCTCCACTACCCTCATTATTCGCCCGCGCTACTGTCAATCAAGGTACGTCTGGAACATGATTAATTCAATTGGGACATTCCCTCCACAGC